ACACACACACTCGCACACACACACATACACACACGTCCATCTTGGCTCGGGAATGCCGACGGCAGTTTCATTCGGCAGACTGGTCCAGCGGCGCGTCTCAGACAGCTGGTGGGGCCGGGCTCATTCTCCGGAAGTCCCCCCCACCCCGCGTGAGGAGGGACGGCTCGTCTGAGCGTTAGCGGGGGGGGGGGTGAGGGGGGGGATGGAATCGGCGTGAGCGAGGCGCGAGACGGAGATGGCAGAAAAATGCTCTGGCAGGCGGCAGGGAAGCTGGGGCAGCGAGCGGTGGTGTAAACTCGCGGCAGGACGGGCTGCAGGCTCGCGGATGATGAGGGCGGCGCGGCATGCGTGAGCCGGGTGGCGTGAGCGCGGCGGATCCCGTGGCGGAGTGGCGCCGAGGCTCCCCCGTGCTGTCCGCCACCACACCGCTGCCGCCGGGAGAGGAGGTGCGTGTGCGTGCTTGCTCGCTCTCGTGCGTGCCTACGCGTGTGTGCGTGTCCCGAGCGCGCAGCTATAAGGCTGAGCCCGTCCGGCAGTGCCGGCGCTGGCTGTCCCCTTTGTCACGGCACTACCGGGCGGCCAGCGAGCGACACCACCGCCACCGCCGCCTCTCATTCATCCCTTTATTTGTTTTTCATTTGCATCAAACTGCGTTTGGGAAACATTTAGATTGCAGGGCGTGCAGAGGGAATCCCGATTCCCCCCCGTGGTTCGTGTGCGCCGATGGGGGCGAGAGCTTGTAACGGTCAGCTCGTCTCATGGTGGGGAGGGGGTGGGGAGCGGGGGGGGGGGGGGCGGTTGCTCATAGGACGAGATGTAGACTGATGATCTGCACTTTCTCTGAGGACAAAGAGGAAGCAGCGAGCAAGCGGCCAGGGGCTTCCCTCCCCAGCGCGGAAGGCTAGCTGGCTAGTTAGCGGGAGGCCACCGGTTCCCTCATTCGGCTCCCCGGCTCTCCGACAGACAAGTTCACATCCGAATCTCCGTAGTCAAACCTCCATTCGTTTTCTTCTCCATCCTCTGCTGTTTCCTTGGTTTACTTTCAGTGATGATTTCCGAGCTTACGTGTATGTGTGTGCTGCCTGTCGCCGCCCGTGTGTGTTTACCGTGGCGAGGTTTCGTGAGAGGCATTACGAGACGCCGAGCTATCCGTATGCAGGGACATAAGTTGTCTGCAGCACAGGGGAAAGGGAGACCCCCACTCCACCCCCCCAAGTTAAATCTCTCCTTTCGATGAGGAACCAGACAGCTCTCGGCTGCCCGGTCTGGCAAGCGGGTGCGAAGCGGACAAACAAGTTGCTTGTTTTTTTTTTAAGCTTGCAGCAGTGCCGGGGTGCGAGCGAACTTTGGGGGCACCCGGCAGGACACAGCAGCGCTCCTCCTGTTCCCTGAGACCCTAACTTGTGAGCTCTCGGTTCTGAAAATCACGGGTTGGGCTCTTGGGACCCGGGCGGAGGGCAAGATCGGCTCCAAGTGTCAGCCATCTTTTTAATTTTTTTTTTTTTAAGACGGGTGGAGTCGGAAAGAAGGGACAGCGTCTCTGAGCGCCTGGGGGGGGGGGGGGGGGGTTTTGGGGGGGGGGGGGGGGGGGGGGGGGGGGGGGGGGGCAAGACAGGCGAGGAAGGGAAGGAGCAGGAGCACAGGCAAGGCGGGATCCGCAGCAGGTGCCTGCAGGCTGGACTTCGGCCGAGCGATTGCGATTCGGAATAGGAGCAGAATACGGACACAGAGGTTGGCGCCCGGCGTGACTTGTGCTGCGGTCCGTCTTTTTAACCCAGCCCGAGTGACAATCCGCCCGTACACACATGCACAGGGGAATGCACAAGATTCGGCAGGTACGTCGGCGTCTTTCGGGAACAGCATGTTTCGGCGCCCAGAGCATGCCACGCACCGGACTCCTGTCTCGTTTCAGAGACTGCAGTTTAACCCCTCACGGGCCGTGACGAAGCCCTTTCATACTGCAGTGAATCAATTCTCATTAACATGTGGCGCATCCTCTGCATGCTCCTGCAAAGCAGGATGAACGCATCAAAAGGAGCGCAAAAAAAGTATGTCTGTGTCGAAGGCGTCGTGTGAGCGTCGCAATTCATGCACGCTACGGTCATGGTGAACGTTTTACCATGAGATCGGTAGCCAGGTAAGTCAAAGTCGTGGGTCCCTTCAGGAAAGAAGCTTATTCACGGCTTTGTCCAAAACGACAGCATAAATGGTGGTGGCTAGACTCGGAAGCACGTCGCTTTACTGCTGCCTCGTGCACAGGCGTGTATCCTCGACGGCGTCCAGACAGAGGCGCACATGAGCGCTACGTATCTCTACGTTCAAAAGATACATTTTCACCTTTGGGTTTTTAGGGGCAAATCGGATTCTGTATAAAAGCTAATTGGGCCAAATGATCTTACGATCAATCCATTTAGAGTTTTGAAACGCTACGACTCAGAACGAACTGAAAACTTATGTTTAAATCAATATTTATTGCGTGCATCAGTGGTTATTACAATCAAGTACGTAGGCCCGTAGTCGTAACTGTGAATGATCCGAAATTGTAGCTTTGTGCTGTGATCATAACGGTTTCTGTACTTCGTAAACCTACAGTTTGTGTCAAATTGTTTTGTTCTTTTGCATTTTGAAATTTCACAAAAAAAAAATAAAATATCAGCTCCCAATGTGGGACGAAACATTCCACCAACATGCCACCAAGCTGAGCGCTCTCTTTACACTCTGCAGGAGTGGCGGTCCAGTGTGTCTCCCTCTGCTGGCGTGTGGCAGAACTGCACCAAGTTCTCGACTGAAATCCTTTCAGTTTGGTGATTTCAGTCCTTTTGCTCATAAATGTAAAGTACCAGTTCATCTTTCTGTTAATTGCAGTACGTTTTACCACCATGTGAGAGAATTATTGTTTGCATTGTTTATGTTACGATACAGTATTTCTTAAGTTCTGCGACACTGAAGAATTTTGATGTGTGGCATCACCTCAGAGATATTATCAGATTGTTCATTTGTATAAATTTAACACGACTCATGTTAATTCACAAAAATGAGTGAAAATCTGTAAATGCATATGTTAGCAAATAAAAAATACGGAAAAACAAGTATTGGTCTGAAATGCTGTAACTTTAAACCCGTATATTGCGGGCCTGTCAGTTTTATTGTTATCACTCCAAATTGCCCCCTCCTTTGTTAATCACCGTTTTTTTACTACATCCCTAAGCAAATTAATTTTGCTGAAATGCCAGTTTCAGGTGAATTATGAATGTAGCTTGATTTTCCTGTCCCTCCCCTCCTGATAATTATATCCTCTCACCGAGTGTTCATTAATTTATTTATTTATTTATTCCAGTGACTTGGACCAAACCGGAGCACAAGCTAGGAGGTAACATGGGCTGGACACCCACCCACACTGAAAGCTGACAGGCAGCATGTTGGGCCACCCCCAACACCAGCAAGGACCCAAGAAGGCCCCCACCAATCAGAATCCAGCCTCAGACAAACCTGACACCTCCTACTTTATTGAAACTATTGTTTTCGACTCTTCGTGTTTATTTGCACGTCAGTGTATCTGCACTGCAGATTGTTGTCGTTTTAAGAGTAAATCTGTGATGAAACTAACGCAGAGCATCATTTCCTGTGTCAGTTTACTGTGAATTATTGCCATTTCAGTCTATACATATTTCTCAAGCTCTGTACTCTCGGTGTAATTATTGCTTATCAGCCCATTAAGGCCATCATGAGCCAAGGATTGATCACCTTTCCTAGATACCCCAGTCTGTCCCTTTTCCCCAGCCTGTGTCTGTCTCTCTCTCCATATCAGTAGCTCGTTATTAAAATAAACGTTGACATCCAACCTGAACGTCAATCATTACACCTGGTATCAGAAACGTTATAAACCAAAATCAGATTAATTGAGATGATTATAGACAGAACCTCGCTACGTGTAAAGCATATGGCTCCAGATCCATGCCAATGTGTTTAAGGGAGAGTTACATGCCGGTCGGCCATGTTCCTGCGTGAACCTCTCAGTTTTGCTTCTGACCCGTGAATGGCATTGCTGTCTGGGTTCTCCACCTCCTGGATGTGGTCCAACAACATCAGTTTTACTCAACCCTGTGACTGCTACACAGATTCTACACAACATTTAAAACTTGTGCTTCAAGCAATTTTAGCTGGTTAATTTGTGGTAAAAAAAAAAGAAAAGAAATCTCACACCTGGATTTCAGAATGTCCTGGGGGGGCCGTCCCACCCTCCCGTATTTCTCCTAATATACAAACCTTCCTCTTTTGAGACCTTGCTCTTGTCTTAATAGGCCAGCTGCAGTTCACCTTTTCGAGTTGAGAGCTGGATGGGATGAGCTACAGCAGCCTGTCATTAGAGATGAAATAGGGAGATATCAGAGGAGGCTTTGATTGCAGGTTAGGTGCATGGGCAGGTGAGAGGGGGAGGGGCAGGTGAGAGGGAGAGGGGCGGCTGGCAGCGTTGGGGCTCGGCTGGGAAACTCCCCAGATCGATCTATGTGCTACTCCGCGCTGCAGAATCACGGGGGGGGGGGAATGCTCCTCAATTCTATATTCAAAAGGCATAGATGAAAGACGCAGATATATGCAGGAAAAGCAGGTCTGCAGCAATAGAACAAACTGGGATGTGGTCATACAGCTGAAGACAAGCCCAGCCGCATGCTCACCGAAGATAAAGGGGGGGGGCGATGATGTCACACGCCATGGCAGACACGCTTCTGTCACAGCGCAGTCTTTAATCCCCGATTTCCAAACACTGGCGTGTCGACACAACGGTGAATTATTTATTCTGTTGATAACACCGCACGGGTCCTTTGCCGTCGCCACGTTATTATGATGCGGTTTTGAAATATGATGCCGGTTCCTGAGCGGTCGACACAGAAAGGCGCTTTCTTCCGATGAAAACTTTGTCATTCAGACGGGAGTTTCCCCCCTGCTGCGTGCCGGAGTTTCTGCACTTTCTGAGTGGTGCTGAGACAGATGCAGGGTTATCGGGTTAGATGGTGCGTCTCCGGCCCCAAACGTCCTGCTTAGAGCAGAACGAAGCAGAAGGAAGACAGGAGGATCGTGTCTTGTGAGGCGTCAGGCTTCCCCCCCGCCCCCCGCCGCCGATCCCGGTTATTGTTCCGGGCCGGATCTGGTGGATCAAGACTCTGACAAGATCGTGAGACAGCAAGATTCTTGATATCAGGTTGGGGGTGGGGGGGGGAGTGGGTGTGTGTGGGGAAGGGGGGGGTCCAGACACTGCGGCAGGAGGCTAGACAAGCCCCTAAACTGGAGCGTCTGCCACACACACACACACAGAGAATAACTAGAAGACATTGGTTTTAATAATTAAAGTTCCATTTCAGGGACGACAGAACCCTGTTTCCCCGACGACGAGAGCGGCACGCACGACCCATCGGAACCCGAAATGCGTTCCTGTTTTTAGCAAGATCACGACTGAAGGGTCTTGCTTCATCTGGGGAAAGATTAGTGCCTGAGATCGATGTACCAAAAGATAAAGTTATTTAAAGACCCAGCGTGGCTTTGGGAGTCCGTATCGAGTGCCGGGGAATCGGAGGCGGTCTATCAAGGTCAGGCCTGGCACGTAAATTACCCGTGTCTCACGCGGCTCCGAACGCTCTACTCATTTTTCACGGTGACGGGATCGTGATGTGCACTCGCGGGTCTGTTTTGGGGTTCTGCGGCAGTGGGCTCCTCCAGATCACATGCGGGGGGGGGAGTCTGCTCGAGTACTGAAGGCCCCCCTTGCTGCCAAACCGGAGACGTGGTAATGAAGCGTGTGCGGTGGGTGCTCGTTAACCCCTTAACGGCCCCCCACCACCAAATCCCTATTCGAATACTATTATATAGCCACCTAGAAGATGCGTCTATCCACAGTGACAGTGTAGCTTTCATTTGCGAAAGATTTTCTTTTACGCCTCTTTACAAATTAAGGAATTTGCTGTAGAAAATCGAGGTCATGCAGAAACCCTCCACATCCACCAGTTTTCAGTAGTTCCAGCCCTTAGGCGCTCTGCCCCCTGCTGGACCAGAGGCAGACTGCAGATTCTTTGTGTAATTCTTGCGATAAATAACTGAGACTTCCTGCAGTGCTCTAACCCGGTTTCTCGCACTTTCGATGTCCGGGTCCCATCGCGTTGGATGTAAGAAACCCCCCTGCCCCATCCATCCCACCCCCAGCCCCAGAATGAGTATGCAGTAATCCCTTTGTGTGCGGTTTCCACGGCTCCCGTCACCGTGTGACTTTTATGGGTGCACTGGAGCAGCTTGCACCCGTTGCCCTCGCCCCCCCCCCCCCCCCCCCCCACCTCCCATCGAGACGTCGTGGAGGCGTTGCCATGGCAACGCAGCATTGAGTTATTGAACTGCGGCCGGGCTCCTGCCCCAGCGGGTAATTAGTCTCCGGGCCGCAGACGAGCTCCTCGGCGACGGAAACTTGGAGACGCGTTGCGCTGCTGGTGCTGTTCGGACCCCTGGCAGAGGCGGCGTGTCACGGGACAATGCCCTCTGTCTGTCGATCTGTCTCTGCCCCCCCGCCCCCGGACAGCCACATTCACGGACATGTCCGTTTGTGGGGGGCGGGGAAGGGCCACTCAGAGAGATCCCAAGAGAGTGATGACATGGGGTGGGGGGGGGGGTACAGCCTCTGTGCTGGAGGAGATTAGAGGGCGCCTTTTATCAACAATAATAAATTCTATAATATCCATGCATTACCATTAACAGTTATAGGTGTATTCTGACTGAATTGTTTCGATTTTGATCGCCACTGTCCTTCTCAGTATTTATTGCCGTCTGATCTGCTCGAGCTGAATTTTTCAAATTTTAAACAATCCCTCAAAACACAAACGAGCACATCGGAGTCGGATGAGGAAACGGCTTTTTCACATAATTTTTTAATAAAAAAATCTCTGTACAGGGTGATGTTATACAGGGCTGGACCCTGGTTAGCATTAATGCCAGGATCAATTGATTTGTGTTCCACTTGGACTGAATGGTGCGCCAGTCACCGTAAGTACCTTAAAACACCGGACATCACATTTCTTATTACGGACTAGCTTCACGGTGCATTTGCCCTGACGTTGCCGGGATGCAGGAGGGTTGGAATTTTTTTTTTTTTTTTTTTAAAAAGAAAAGCGACATAGAAAACCCGGAACACTCTTTCAGTCTTGTGCCATCACTCTCCCCCCCTCCCCGCCCCGCCCCGCCCCTCACGACTGGGTGGCTGCGCGATGATGTAAGCGGCGGACTGTCATTGGCATGCGGCCCCATGCTCTCTGCACCATCTTCCTGTGGGGTGGGGGGGGCTGGACGTGAGTCGCTGTTCCCCAGGTCATGATATCCCAGAGGACAGCAGTGTCGGAGGGGGGGACCTGGCACCCCTCCCCCCACCTCACCCAGACACACGGACCAGTCGCTTAAACTTATCTGTGCTCACGATTGAAAATACAGTCACGTAGGATGACATGCACCCACCCACCCACACCCACACGTTCCGTAAGGAAACTGCGGTCACAAAGATCATCACAATCGCAAGCAGCACACACCTATTCACCAGGACACATTGCTGCACTGACACAGACACAGAGTGACATACGAGAGCACAAAGTCTAATTTCAGACTGTCTCTCTGTCACACACACACACACAGACAAAGAAAAAAAGAGTGTTAAAGCAGCTGTGGGAGGTGAGGCCTGGAGCAGGGGACAGGAGAAGGTGACACAGTCTGACAGGTAGATCTGTATGTTTCTCATTAGCATCTACATACCGCACGTGTGAATCTGCACCCTTATAGATCTACATCCACATAGATCTGCACCCGCACAGACTTGCACTCCCACACAGATCTGCACCAAATTATCAGACCATTCATATCACTGTCCAGTGTCCGATCACTTTATAGACTTAAATCAACCTCACTATCATTGTGTAAAACAGCCTCTTTTGTTTCTTCAAATTGCACTTCATGAACAATCATTCTAAAAGTTTTCTTGAATTCTGCACAAATTAGCCCTGATTGGAATATAAATATGAGTATGAATGACGTGACACAAAGAAGGTGCATAATCTGTCACATCCACGGCAGGGACGGTAGGTGCAGCTGGGCTTTCCTGATTACTGAACCCTGCTTGCACGATATTGTGTTTCTGTGTGTAAGCTTTGGTTCACGCTAAAAAAATATATGCACGCAAACATTAGGCAATCAGAACACAATTATAACAACATTTAAACATATTTCTGCGTATGTGCAACAAATACACACGGTAATTCTGTATTAGACAATTGGCCATGAAAAATCATTGGATGCATGTTTTATGTATATTACGGTTCCCAGGTCTCTATCACAATAATTGCCTCCGTTTTCGGCCCGACAACTCCACCCCCCATCTCTGCACGGCTTACCAGCTGTGTCTGGTTTCAGTGTGGGATAAGGTTCATTTTAGGCTCAGCATTAGGGCAAAGACATGGAGAAATTAAAGTTTTCGCCAGATTTTCGGAAGAATCCTAGACCAATGAAATCCAAGCAGACTCACTTCTCCTAAAAGCAGATGTATTTCCAAAGTCCTTTTCAGCCTTAAACAGCTGTACTGAAATAAAAAATACAATCCTGAGACATAAAAACAAATTAAATGCTGAAACAGGGAATTCTATAAATTACTGTAAATTCTGGATTCAGCGAAGCACAAACTGTTGACAGACGCTGTTTTGATTAGTGGCATTAAATATTTTGCAGAATAATGTTTATAATTAAATGTTCTATTGTTCGATAAAGTTCAAGAACAATTGTCATTGTGTAACACAGCAAAGTTACTCTTATGACAACCCCAGAGGTGCATTTAAACAGTCCAATTACTAAACACAAAAAACCTTAAAATAAAATAGTCATACAAAGTATGGAAGGGAGAGATAACCAATCAGATTGCAGAGGAGGTGGGTCCAAGCAACTAAAGCAAAGGCAGGACCAAGACTGATTGGCTGGTCCTGGCTCCTCTAGTTGCTTGGACCCAAATACTCTACAATCTGATTGGTTATCTCTCTGAACCAATCATTTTTTTTCCTTCTGCCCTCAGAACATTTTTGTGCGAATAAAACTCCCACAAGCTTCAAGTGATGGCAGTTCATGTTTTTATGAGTGAGGGTGTGGATCTGTGAGGGTTTATGAGTGAAAATGTATAAAGACTATTTACTGTAGACATATAAGTAACCTTCTGGTAACGAGGATTGGAACCTGCAGATTTTGGCTAAGGAAAGGTGTAGAGGAACAAGCCAGCAAACCATATGTCTGGGCCCAGGTTCCAAGTGTCTTAGCTGGGCTTTCACCTTAGCAGTAAGTCGCCTTTTCCCAGTTACCTTATGCGCTAGATGTCATCCTTCATTTACTAGCCGTTTACTCTAATGAAGGTGGAATTGTCACTTTTTGGTATTTCGCTCATGCTTTGCTGTCTGGAGCTGAGGAACGTGACGAGGAAGCCTTCGAGGCACCAGGGCTGAGCTCCTAAGATAACAACTCCGAGCCCTAAACCCAAATCTAACACGGTGTTAAGGATTTTCAGGACTAAACCAAATGTCCTACGTTTCAAACCCTCTGAGATGCGCCCTGAGGATTTTCACTCATAAAAATATGTAATTCACACTGGCGATGAGGGGAATGGGATCGAAATAGTCAGGAGCGGAGAGGTTTACTCTGTTTACCCAGCTGCATTCTGCCAGTCTGTCACCCTGTCTGGCTCTGTGATGAATTGCTTGCTTAAGGCCTACATTTCCCAGCAAGCATTGGAATGTCTCCAAAAATGGCAGCCAGCTGACATCCTACATCAAAAGTAGAACGTCTGCTATGGATTCCTAAAAAACAAGGGTGCGTTTTCCATTGTTGCAGTACATATCCAGAGAATGGGCAACAGACTGCTGCGGAGAGCTGTGGGGGGTAATGCAGACATAAAAATTCACTAAGCATAAAAATTAGATGAACGTATAAAAATATCCACAGGGCTGTTCCTCTCTGAAGGTCCTGGTCCTGCAATTAGAATGTCTTACTGCAGTGCTGACAGTGGTTTGGAATGCTGAGGAAGGGAGGCTGGCAGGGTGATGCAGTACTGACAGTGGTCTGGAATGTTCAGTGCCACGCCCCCCTTGTGATGATCTTACAGTTCAGGGTCCACTGAACAAACCTGAGATCTGGAAACAGAATATTGTGGGTTCAGGTCCTGAAAGGCTCTTTGCTGTTTAACTGTTTCCCAAAACACATCAACTCAGTCCCCTCAGCAAATTAACAAATTGTAAGATATAATACCACTCATGAATGTGTCAGCCGTCTTGTCAGTTCTCTACTCACCTTAGAACAGAACAGCAAAACTAAAATAGTGGTTCTTCACCATATTGATAGGTCTTCTATTTTGAAAGATCATCAATTCTGACCTTGGCAGCTGTGCTGAGCTGAGCCGAGTTGCGCCAGACACCTTTAAAACTCTCTGATTGGTTGGCCTCCAGCCACAAGCCACTGAGTCCTCCCAGCCAGCAGGGCGGCGTGGTATGATCCTGAGTCAGCAGCCACGCGGTTATTAGTGTCGCCTTTACATCCGAGCACAGCCACATCGGGTTAAGCACAACTCTAGATCAATAAGTAGCATAATGTTTAAAAGCTAGAGGTTTCAGTATTGTTACCACCATTGTGATTAACTAAAATGCTTTTGGTTTAAACATTATATTACTTTGGATTACAAAACCATCTCTCGAGGAGGTAAAGACAACATTAAATCATACTATCATCTCTTGGCTCATCGCTGAAACCTGTCATCAGCTCCTTGTTCACACTAGTCTGTGTTTAGCAGTGGCTTGAGCTACATGGGAGAAACTTTGCCGCCCTCTAATGGTCAGGATTTGGAATGCATCTATTTGTTCTGCAAAATGCAAGGTGTCAGTCTGTCTCTCATAGTCAGTAAGAGCATCACTATGGAACTTTAAAGTGTCCGCGTACTTTAATGGGGTACAAACCAAGAAGAGTGTCAGCTGATCGCAGAGTGAACCTCAACATTCGTCAGATGGAGCTTGTGTTTCGTTCTGGTTTTGTCTGGGCCTGCAGAGGTTCGGCAGTCAGAACGCAGCCACAGAGCTCAGCATTCAACTTTGGAAGCGGAGTAACTCAGGATAATGTGCCATCTGAAATGAAATAGGATATATGAGTAGCCTTTGATAAATTTGTATATTACTTTTACGCGTCTGGCAGTTAGTTTACCGGGGAGGTGGGGGGGGGGGGACTATGAGGCTGCACTTCCTGTGGTGACGTGTCGCTCTTGTTTATTCCACAGAGGCTCCGAGCTCAAAGCAGGGACAGCGAGCAGCAGCCAGAGCGGGATCACTGCTGTGGGGGGCGAGGCAGACTGAACAGGCGGGGGGGACAGGGAAAGAGGGGGACACTTCTGTTAGGAGGAGGGAGGGGTCACCAAGGAGCTGTTTATGTCTGAGGTGGGGGTCCACTGTTTAGTCACCACGCGACATTATACACTTATCCCTCAGCAGAGAACCCCTCCATGCTGATTAGGGGTAACAGACATAGAGTCCCATGGTGTTCTGTCTAGGGGGCGTCCCACATTCCCAGTGTTTACTGGGAGAAGCATTACTCATGACTATGAACTACATCAGCGATTATGGAGGATGGATGGATGGATGGATGGATGGATGACTTTTTCTCCCCCTTTTGTGAATGTAGGCCCCACACAAAGAAAAACAGCCCTCCAAATAAATAAAAAGAAAATTTTCAGTTTTCACAGGGACGGACTGGGGGGGCTCACGTCGCACTCGGCAGGAGCGACAGGCGGGGTCTTTCACGGCTCTCTGGTCTGGGGTTAACTGAGGACCAAACCAAACAAGGAAGAGATGGAGACAGTGCTGGAAAGTATAATGAAGAACAGTTACTTTGTTACCGTACTTTACATTTTTCACATATCTGTACTTACGTATATATTTTGCCATGGACACTTCTGACTTTTGCAGCGAATATTTATACTTTCTATTGTACTACATTTCTACTTAGTGTTGTTGCGTTATGTTTCACAATCACATTGCTGTTTTGTTTTTAATCATTTGATGACAGGGAATGGTAGTGCTGGCTCAGATTAATACTGAGATTTCTGAGCCTTTTTTGTCAAAGTAAAGCCCAGCTGACTAAAGTTGGCAACCCTGTATACAATTCGGACTACGTACAACACCTTTTGACACATAATATAAAGTGTCTCTGGAAAGGGTGAGCGGTGATTCTCGGATGTTTGTTAACTTGCCGGTAAACCGTGAATAGCATGTCGATAATCTAATGACAAAAGTGTTCAAATCTGCATCCTGTGGTCATTATCTGGAAAGTTTTATTTAATAACACACAAATATATGGCTTTGCAATATGACCAAAATCTCATATGCACACCACAAGAAATTATTTACTCGACGAATAAAAAGTACTAAGTCATAATTCATTATTTTTGTAAAACATTTACGCAATTTTCCAAATTAATTTCACGCAAATTAATCTTGTAACAAAATATAAGATATTAATGTATTCATGTAGAAAATATAAAAGGTGAATAGAAGATTAACTGTTGGAGCAAGCGTATAAAAATCAGGCAGCGCTGGGAAATGTTGTGCAGTGTGTGCATGCGCGAAAACTAGTGCGCGGCTGAAGTTGCCTGAACTTTTGTATTTTACAGAATATACGTACGGGTGGTAGATTTAATGCCATGCTATACAGTTGCATCAGGGACTACAAGTTCAAGTACTTTAGTACTATAAGTACATTTACAAGCAAGTACTTACTTAAGTAGAAGGGCCAACTGGGTACTTCAGCTTTTACTAGAGTGCATTTTTGGCTGTTCGTTTCTACTTACTTCCTTCACCACTGGATGGAGAAATAAAGCCGTCGACCACACAGAGAGCACAGCGCCACCACCCATCGCAGGCAGAGGTGCGTATTACAGCACACTGAAACGCTAATCGAATCAGTCTGGGATTTTAGTGCGATTACGCTAATAGCTAAGCATTTATGCTTATGAGTCTTGCTCGTTTCTTTCTTACAAGCTGTTCTCTTTCATCCACAAGCCAAAGAATGTAAGGACAGAATAAAAACATACCAACCTGGATTTCCATTGCACACTGTGCTTTTCTTTATTTTGTACCCTGTTCATCCGAACACATTACAGCTGTTTATTACTGAGGTTCAGTGCATTATGGGCAGCCGGGCCGATCGATATCAGCTCAGGTGTGCAGCCAGTGAAATTGATCATCTTTTAATTAGGATTCAGGTGGCCAGAGGCTGCTTCTCCAACAGAGGCTGGCCTGGGAGGGTGGTGGGGTGGTAGGGTCAAAGGTTAAGGGAAGCTTTCAGATGTGCCTGAATACCATAAGCGTCAGGGATACACATGGCTTAGACTGGCCCAAATCCACGGATTCAGGTGATCAGCTTCTTTCCCCACGAGGAATGCTGGGTATTCAAATTCCAGGATGATTCCAGAATCATCTCCACTCCTCAGGAAATCTGATGTGCTGGCCACCGCATTGACAAACACTGTCCTATAGAAATCTGTTAGGCAGAGGTGGAAAATTGTTCAAGTCCAGAAAGTACAAATCCAGTTTTTGTTTCAACCAGCCAGTTGAGTACTCAATGACTGTGACTCTTTATACTCAACTGGTTGGTTGGAAAAAAAATCCTGCTCTGGATTTTTACTTACTGGATCCAAACTATCCAGCTCTGCTGGTAGGTGGCCAATCAAAACAGACATGGACTCCTACTCTGTGTATCTGTTAAAGAGAAACTGAGGGATAAAAACCAGAGGTGGAAAGTTCAGGTCCAGAAAGTACAAATCCAGACCAAGGTTTTGTTTCAACCAACCAGCTGAGTGTAAAGAGTCTCAGTCACAGAATACTGAACTGCTTGGTTGAAACATAACCTTGGTCTGGATTTGTACTTTCTGGATCTGAACTTTACACCTCTGAGACGAACCCCACCCAAAGACAGGCGGCTCGGGCAGTGTGGTGAATCTGAATATCCATTAGTGAGTGTTAGTTCCATTCCGGATGTACCTTTAACCCCCATTTATTAAACCTCCGGAATTATATGGCAGATCCCAACAGCGGGGGCATAGGCTGTAGCAGCCCGGTGTAGTGAGTCACACGGCCGCTCCGGGGCAAGAAGTTTCCGAAATGGGGCTGTGACGGCTCCCCCAGAGAAGCTTCCGGACTTGCCATCCTCTCTGGCCTGCCCCGCATGATGGAACCGGCCCCCATATGCTGCTCGCTGTTGCTTCAGCAGCCGCCGCTCTCCCTCATCTGACGTTCCCGCATCATTCGGGAAAATGCGCCTGTTCCGAAGCCCGGGGGTCACTACGGAAATGTTACAAGAACAAGAAGCCGGGAATCGAACTTCAGAGGGCAGAAAGAGTCGTTTCCTCAAGAGCCAAGGGCCCCCCCTGGGTGCAGCGCCGCTCCATCACCGGCAAAAAATAGTTACACATATAATAAAGTCAGAAAATAAAGCGGTATCTAAGGGACCATCTCTAATCCCACCGCACACATGCGATAAATCATCTTCGGACATAAATGAATGCTCATTAGCGCTAATGAACATGACGCTGACTTTAATGTTGGATAATGACAGCGTTGTGTACCCCTAAGCAGCCTGGCATGGAGTCGACCTCGCGGAAATGGACACCTGCAATGTCAGTCGACAACACGGAGGTGTCGCGCCGTCTCTTGGGTTCTAGCCTGGTGATATGTGTAGTGTGGACTGTAGTCCAGCAGGTGGAGTAGTGGTGAAGGAGTCAAGTGTCTCTGTCAATTAAACAAGAGATGGAGAATATAAGTTTCCAAATTTGATTTATTTTATTGAGATCAACGTCCATACATCCTTCTATACCTCTTGTCCACTAGAGGGCAGTGGTGAGCCTGCGGCCTATCACAGCTAAGGGGCCCAAGGGGCCCTCTGGATGGAATAGTTACAAATATAATACAGTCACAAAATAAAGCAGTATCTGACTACATATATGACTGTGACATCTCTCAGCAGGATGAGTTTGCGTCAAGAGCTGGCTGCAGTGCAGTGTCTAATGGAAAGTCGTTAACTGGAGATTCAATCTGCTCACCATAAAGATGCTGGGAAATAATGTCTGGACCGTTAACAGAAATTTCCAGAAAAGGACCACGGGGTCAGCTCAACCTTTTCGTCACTCTGTTTCCGTGGTTACAGTGGGCAGGCGTAACTCACCTGGGTGCGTGAAGGAGCATCGATTAAACGGCCGTTGTACCTGTTCACCTTAAGGTTGAGTCAATACCTTTCCATAAATTATGTCTCTTATTTCACATTTTCCAGCACAATGTCCCAAACCACATAAGAAAAAGGTAACAACAGCATTAAAAAATAATCTCCATGAATGTTAACAACAGCATCACTAACACAAATTACCCAGACAAATCAGAGGAAGCGACAGGAATGGAATTGTGGGAAGGGAACACAGAGGGTCTTCAGTTTGAGGTGGCGAGCCGACAGTGTCCAAGGTTAGCCTGAACTAAAAGAGACATTGTTATACGATCACCTGTTATTTCAGCACAGGTAATTCTGTTGGTTCACAGGTCATGTGACTGCACGTGTCACTTCCAGTGGCTGCTCCCAGCACCATGTTGAACTGCAATCTCCCCAGTTAATGGTGCATGCGTTTAATCTTCAGATTTGCTTGGTAATAAGGGCAATTAAAGCTGCGCTAAGCAGATGAAATTAAATGCGAGTGGGGCAGCCATGGTAACCGGTGGCCTCACACACGCACGCACACAGCCATAACGTGACGCAGTCTCCGAATCAATGTTTGTTTATGTATGTTTGTTTATTTAGAACGGCCGTATTGCCTGTGGAGTGTGTTTACTTTCACTAAATCTGATGGAACCACAGACACTTACCCCACCATGTGTCACATAATTCCTAAATAATTTGCAAAGCAAACAGGAGTTGCTTGGGATTTACTATGTGCCCCAGTTTCTTTTCTGTGCAGGTTTCGTTTACTGTTACACACCCTTATTGTCAGGAGAACGTGGAGCCTGAAAGCCAGAGAAAAGAGAGGTGGAAGGTAAGCTAGAGTGAGCAATCAGGAAATGTGCAGGAGAGCAGGAGCCGGAAACGGGATCTTCAGGGTAAGAGGCGGACGAGCAGAGATGCCCATGTTCCAGTCACTGATTAATCACTTAATTAGGTCAGCAGTTGAAGGGACACAGGTGACCTTAATGAGCTACGACAGGCTGACGGGCTGTGAATCTCCAGGGAGTGTAGGAGGCTTACGGGACTGGAGTCTGAACGGGCTGCTGATCTTAACATCTGCGATGTAGGATCTCTGGGCTGCTGCTGATGATCTGAATGCAGGAGGTCAAGATGGCTGTCGGCAGAGATGTTTGGGAGGTCCGATCACGAAAGAGCACCCCGCCCCCCCCCCCAGCCGTCACTCTGTCCCCCATAACCTCCCCACACGTAATCCACCTGCCCCTCATCTGCTTTCATTTGATCACCATACCCCTCCCTTAAAGCAGCTTATTACCCCAAAGCTAAGGAAAGTCCAACGGGCTGTTAGTGACAGACAGTGTTCCCAGGTCCTGGAGAAGAGCTTCTGAAGCAGTGAGTCACTGTCCCCAGTGCAGCCGATCCAACAGTTTTTAGAACTTTTTATAGAGCTTTGGGTTTTTCGAACTGCAAGCATTTCAGACAAATTGGCAAAACATGCGTGACTGGAGCAGTTTTCCCTGGCTTTTTGTGGAGCTCTTAGAGCGTCTTACTGCTGTCAGCCAGAAGGGCGGCGCTGATCCCTATAAGTCCTCATTGGCAGCACACACCAGGGGCACGGACAATACGTCACCCACCTGCCCATGTTTGCTGATCCGTTTAGGGTGCCCTTTGAATCTGGGAATCGTTCGTCATTCAGGATGGTATCTGCCTTGCTTCTTACACGTGCCCTTTAAGGATCTCTCACTCTCCTGATTCGGCGGGAGTCTGTCTGACAGTGAGATTCATGCATGAGTCTTTCCCAGATTAAGGAGGAGCATTGGCCTGTTTGGCGATGCGATGGGTGACATTTCAGCTGGAATTGCTCGAAAGTCCACCTGCTGCTGGGCAGTGTTGCATAAACTCATTTGCGGGATTGAATTATCTGCTCTATCTTCTGGGCGTTTCTCTGGTGAGGAGTTGAAGCTCACTGCAGGTTGTGTTGTGACAGTGCCATCTAGGGTGACCACCTGATCCATGTCAGGGGGGACACTATGAGCTGGGATGGGGTTTGCAAACTACCATTTCAATTGAAAGGACCTGGATTTCACTTAAGCACAGAGTTCTTGCTGTGTGGTGATTGGTCAGTCTCCTATAATCATGCATGTGCCATTAATGTTAATAGGAAACAGCTGGATGAGTCTTTCTATCTCTATCAAGGAAACAAAAACGTCAAAGCACAAGAATAACTGAAGTATTTAGGAGCCTTTCAGTCTTAAAGTAGTTTGTAAAACCTGCAGTAGCTCATATTGTCCCTCCTGAGATGGATTTGCTGGTCACCTTATTGGCATCAGAATAACGGCACCAACAGATCAGCTGATAAACTTTTGATCACGTTCATTTTTTGCAAGACCCGCCCATCGTCCCTGATGCTGTCCGCAGCCTGAGAGACAGCACTGTGTGACAGCTATAATACTGTTGAATGCTGTAGGCATGTTTAATCAAATTTCGGGCTATAATACTTGCTTTTGTAAAAGTACAACCGGAGTTCTGTTTGGGACTCTGAAGCCAGAGGCTCTGTCGTACAACTGTTTCACCTTGCAGGCCCAGACATTTTTCTCCTACAGTCTGGAGTTTTATCTTTAGTGTCCTTCAGA